AAGAGTGTTACCAACTGATCAATGGCTGACACCATTAGAGTGATTAGGAGGCATATAAAGACAGTATTTGTTTGTACATGCAAAGTTTCCAAATGTATTAATTGGAATTATGAGTGATGATTACTTTTTATAAGAAGGTTCGATTCCCAGGTGGTGCGAAACCTTAGCCATATTTCCTACCTCCATAAAAACACATGCCTCTGTTTACCTAGCAGTAAGTTGGAACCCGCTTGTTAGTTGATTAGTAATCGCTTTCCGGGGGTAATAATCCCTTCAAAATAATAATAATAATGTGGTCATTCAATCCATGACCGTTTGTGAGACACAGTCACTACACTTTACAGTATATCCTGTGAAGCGTTTTCAGACCTCTTGACAAAGTGATAAGGCGCGATATAAAATGTAAGGATTATTATTTATTATTACTATATTTTAGTTGCATTGTAAACTTTAAATAGGCAATGTAAAGCATAGAAAGATTGTGTGATTATACTGTGGGTGAATAACATTGAAGGAGTGCAGACAAAATATTTAATAAAAAAAGGGGAATTATTTGCTACAGTTGCCTTGGAAAGCAATTTGATTGGAGTAATTGCCCATTTGTGAACAGATTTGATATAATTTTGCTCCCTTCCCTTGCAAAGCATTTAAGTGCCTAATCTGATCAAGTATTGAAGTGAACAAAAATTATTGTATTAAGGAGATTTTGACTGGCGAGAGTGATCTGATGAATCTCCTGAGCACAGAGTCACAGAAATAGTATAATTTAACAAAACATTTTTAAAGCAGGAAGCTTTTCCCCCTTTTTATATGGGTCAGAGACATACGTTAATTGACCACTGGTGTCACCCAATAAAGATTAATAACTAATGTCATTTCAATGGTGGAAAATAGTGGAAACTATTTCCATACACATCCCGGTTAGTGACTGTTCGGTGTTGTATTGCATAGAAAGGAAATCAAATCTCATGATTGAGCACTTAAAAACATTAACTCAATTTGGAACCAGATGATATTGTTTAATTCCCTCAGGGATTGAAATATGAACGTTTTTTGTAGAGCAATTTTCATAGAGGCACCTGCACACACGGATAGTGCTTCCATTATGCAATTTTAGTAAAAGTTTGCCTTAGCTTCTTTAGTAAGACAAGGCTGAGCTGCTATTTTCTTTGCTTTTCATTACAAAAATCAACCATTCTGTCCACCACAAAAATAATAAATACTGCTTTGCTTCATTCCTGCTGTCAGGCTTTACTGAAATTCTTCCAAGTAACAGCTCAGCCCACCCTGCAAGTGGAAACAGGTATATTGAAGAGACAACAACAACAAAATTACATTTATATAACGCCTTTCAACTTTGGGAGGATGTCCCAAGGCCCTGGACAGACAGTGTTTTGGACCCGAGCTGAGAGGAGGGGTTTGGGAGGGCGGTGAAGCAGGGAGATCGAAAGCACGATCAAAGAGGAGGGTCTTAAGATGGGTTTTGAAGAAGGCAAGGAGGGGGCGATGCGGAGGGACTGTGAGATGGAGTTCCAGAGGGTGGGGACAGAGTGGCAGAAGGCCTGCACACCAATAGTGGGGCGAGCAAGGCGGGGGATGTGAAGCAGGACACACAGGGCTCACAGTGGAAAATTCCTTCCTTCTCCACATTTGTCTTTAAACAAACCTTTGCCTACCAATACAGTGTTCCTACATTTTACAGTAAAATCCTGTGTATTGCTTTGAGATGTTTTGGAATTGTGATAAGATGCAATACCAAATGTAAGAATTATTATTAAACCAAAGAACAACTGATATAAATGTTCCCCTTGCTCCACTAACACACAAATAGCACAACAAGGACTATCAATGTGAGAACTGATCAATTGATCAAATGTCACCTAATTCAGCTTGATATGCAAACACATCCTAAGAGAAGAAAGTAAAATAGCTCTCACTATCTAAGCCAAGATTAGTGACCCAGAATATCTATTCCATAATTTTAGGAGGTGTCAGAGATGCTTCTTTGTGAAATGTGGTGATTAGACTGGAATGGGGTCGATATTCCCCACTAGTTGTATCATATTGGCATCATGTTCTAATAGGCTCATGTTCCCTACAAGTAGGTGATACAAATTCAGTGAATTTACAGATAAGTGGAATAATAAGGTAACCGTCAAAATGAAGATCATCTCCATCAAGGAAAAATTGCACTCTAAGTGCACAGCACATTTACTGACAAGGGTCAGTTGCCTTGGTGTTTGCTGTTGATAAACATATTGCAAACCAGCTCCGAATTTCCCCTGGTAATGCCTGTGGTGAAATAAGTAGATCTGTAGGCACCTCACGTGCATTGAAATGCTAATGTGTAATTATGATGGGAACATAGGATTGCACAAAATTAGGATAGGGTTTTGCATTCCTTATGGTTGATCCAAAGTTTAAAAAAAAATCATCCTATTATATCTGTCAATCGATTTGTTCATCAAGTAGCTTTCTAATCTCTCTCAATTTGTTAAAACATTCTGCCTCACCACCTCCCTAGGTAGTCTATTCCATCTTTTTGTTGTAATTATTTAAATCTGATCTGGCAGTTCACATTCCCTCTTCTGTGCTTGAGCACCTCTCTCCTTGATTCTTTTGAGCACATTAAAAAAACACTTACATTTAATAACTCCTCATCACTTGGAAATGTCTTAAAGTGATTCATAATTAATTGCTGCATGTGTGGCAACTGTTTTTGCTGGCAATCACAGTAGCAAGGCACCACAAACAAACATGAATTGATAGAGAATTAAGAGTTTAATTTGGGGGGGAGAGGTAAGCGGGGTGTCCTTGGAACTGAACTGGCTCCAAGGTGACATGTTTGACAACGGAATATCAGTATCGAGCCAACTCTCTGTAGTGGTCTCAGTAGTCATGTTCCTGATCCAAGCAGGTTCCAGTACTTCAGGGCACTGTTGATGACAGCACAACCAGGCTGGCTCATTGGCAGGACTTGGAATGGCAGACTAGTCAATGGGGTAGGGACTCTTTGCACTCAGCTCCTGTTAATTCTGCAAGCCAAAGTCCTAACACGTAGTGTCATCCTAGCTGGACAAGCAGCAGGCAGGGAGAGAGTGCGCATTCCATTACAACAAATATCTCTGCAATTTCTATGTACATTAGAATACATATAAATCTCAGTTTGGTTTGGATAATCCTAAGCATTGTGATGGGTTTCCACATTTGTCAGACACCCAGTGACCAAAAAAAAAGTAGGTATCAGTTTGGTTGAGTTGGTAGCACTCTCATCCCCGAGTCAGAGGTTGTGGGTTCAAGCCCTACACTATTTTTTCTCGTATGTTAAAGGCACTAGATAAATACAAGTTGTTGTTTTACACATTTTAAACAACCTCATTCGATAAACTGCATATCTTGCTGTTGTAAACGCTCCGGGACACCACACAGTGTGAAGGACACTATATAAAAGCAGATTGTTATCGTTGGTATTGTTCTATTCATTGATCCTGAGTTTAGTGATATTAGTCTCAAAATTGTGATCTATTAGCAATAATGGTAATTATCACAACATGGATCAATGTGACCAACGAGACCAGTTGATAACTAAAGTAACGGTGATTTCCTCTCCCCCCCGCCTCTCTTGACTCTGTCATATTCAGTATAGGAGGTGGTTTTCACTCCATCATCATTATAAGCTCGTCCATATGTTGTAACAATGTAACTTTCCATTTTGTCCAGTGAAAGCAGCAAATGCGGGCAAATAGCAATCACTGGACTGGTGCCAGTCATCGTTCACTGGAGTAATGTTCAATGCCAAGGGCATGAACACAGTTTACTTGAGTGTGTGAAGAAGAGCTGTCATCCTGGGAACTATCTCCCTAAACAGGCAGCTACTGTTACCTGCAATGAAAGTAATGAAAGTGGCTGTCAACTCATCCAATGATCTGTGATATTTAATACCTGAAAAACAACATTATTTACAGTGCTCTAAAGAATACCTAAAGCAATTATATACATACTTGGTGAGTGATGCAAGTGTTAAGGAATTAGCATATTTGACCAAATTGCGCCCAACTACTGCATTAAATATTTACACCCCGGATAAGTTGCAGAAGCACAGATGATCTTAAATGATCTAATCTGCTCAAAATCCATGATTCTGTCAACTCACTGACAGAGTTGAGTAACACCTACATACTCATTGAGTAACACCTACATTTTTTCTTGGTGGCCTTGAGGTGTGGGAATGCCAGTTCAACTTCAGATAAGGAGTGTTTATACTCCATACATAGAGTTAAAACCAACACAACTGAGATCAAGAAACTGACATTATAGCTGGGGGGTTTCACACTGGATTGCAAGCAGCTCTTCTGGAAGAGCAGCTGTGTGGATCAGAAACCAGGAGCTAGACTCTCCTTACTGAGGTAAGTGAGGGAGACTGTTTACTACAATGTTAATTCAGGCAAAATTTTCAGCCATACATTAATGTATTCATATTGCTAATCATCACAGGAACGTGCTAAGTAACACTGTGAATTTTACCCCATAAAAAATGTTTACATCAATGTTTACATTAATTCATCATGCTCACTCCCTCCACTTGAATTATCTGGTCTTATCTCATTCCCGCCCCTGCTCCTTCCCCATAAATTTGTATTTTATTTTTTCAGAAAATTAAGACTTCTCAATTTGCTAATGTTTAGAATTTAGGTTTACCTGGTCTTTAATCACTGTGTCTCTGCATGTGAAAGTGAACGTAAAATCAACAATGTCAAATAGATTAAACAACAAACACTAACCTCCAACGAAGAATCTTTAGACAGCTGAGCTTTCAATATAATTTTATTACTGATGTAAGAGTAGAATAAATGTTTTTTGGCCAATTACAACTGACAACCTCACAATGCTGAAAACAAACTCTGAAAAAGGCTGATTTGATTAATATATTGATACGTTGAGATGATTTCATACAATATCATGTTATTTGATTCTAAATGAAAATTTCTGCTCATTTTTAGCATCTCTCTTTGTTCCAATTCGACTGGCTGGGGGTAACTCTGAGTATGAAGGACGTGTTGAAGTCTATCGTGCTGGACAGTGGGGAACGATATGTGATGACCACTGGGATGAAGCTGATGCTGAAGTTATCTGCAGACAGTTGGGCATCAGGTAAGTATTATTTCAACTCCTGATCAGATTGTAATGAAAAATGGGTTTTTGTGGATTTCTGATACCTACAAACTATGTAAATAATATGATTTCCACAAACAGCCATGAGGTGAATGACCAATCTTATTTGAGGGAATTGATGATCAGGAGAAACTCTTCTCTTTTCAAATAGTGCCACAGGATCTTTAACACTCACTTGAACAGACAGACAGATGGACAGTTTAACATTTCATCCAAACGATGGCACCTCCAACAATGCAATGTATCTGCAGCATTGCATTGGAGAGTTAGCTTAGACTATATGAGTTCAAGCACTGACCTTCCAAGTATCAAGTATAATTCATGGGTGAAGAAGAATCAAGAATTCACCATCATCATTGGTGGGAATGATTGCTATCTTACGTGAAGGGTGCTAGGTAATGCAAGTTGTTGTTCTGACTGGTTTCTTCCTAGTGGAGATACACATAGATTTTACTCTGTTTACAACATGTGTGCACAATGTGTTGGATAAACTGATGCTGTGCAGTCTTCATTTGTGTAATTAATGTGAATGAACATCCTAGGAGATGCATTAAGGAATGAGTATGGACACTGGTGTGTAGCTCTCCAGAAACAGGAGCAGCAGTTCTGGATTGTGATGAACTACAAATGTGCCTTGTTAACCTACTCTCATGCATGATCTTCAGTCATTAAAGTAGTGAATGAGTTTCCCTTTTATGTGTGTTTTAGCAGTCTTTGAATCGAAAACATACAATTACTGAACTAAACGCCAAATGCATTGATTTGGCTTGTTATAAGAAGGTAAGTAAACTGAATGAAGTAGATTCTGGGATAATACAGTACAGTTTACAATACAATTTACACTTGAATAGCACCTCTCATGGTGGTTGTAACAAGCCAAATCAGTTCATTTGGTCTCTATCTTAATAACTGTGTGCTTTTCATTCAAAGTCTGCCAAAGCACAGTTGATAGGTAATGGCTGCAGAAGAAGTTGCCGCACTTGACAATAATTACAGTAAAATGCTTTCCAACTTTCTTTTTGTTGAAACTATACATTTATTTATAAATATAATATTTAGTACAACAGAAATCCAAAACAAAACGCAACACCTTGTGTTAATTTTTTTTCCTTGTCTCCCGATACAAAAACATTCCATTGTTTACGGTGCATTCCTTCACCACACATAGGCTTTGCACACATTTTGTGGGACGTTCACTTTAACACAGTCGGGAGTCTCCCCTGTGTACACCACATCCATGTGCCCACCCACACACACCCTGATAAGGCGCACTTGCCGCTTTCGGAAGGTACAAGCACATGGTTGCCATACATACATTTTCGGGACCCCCTTTGGTTACATCTCGAGCGTCCTCTGTACTCTTACTTCATTCAGTTTTGGGTGCACTTGTGGGCTACCCGGTGGGTCTGCCCTGAGCGGGTGGTGCCGGAGCGGCTCCTGCTAGGGTCAGGCACCATCTGGCCTTTGCCGTGGTTGAGCTGAACTTCAACTTGTCCCTCAGTATCTCGTCCCTGATCCTGGTGTGCGTGAGCCTGAGGCAGGCTCTCACCGACCCCTCGTTCTGCCAGAAGAGCACCTGGTTTTGGGAGTGCCAAAGGGCCTCCTTTACCGAGTTTATGATCCTCCAGGCACACTCATTGTGGGTTTCCCTGTGAGTGCCTGGGAAGAGGCCGTACAGCACCGAGTGCCATAACAGCGGGTCCCCAGGGACGAACCGCGAGAGAATCCATTCCATCTTTTTTCCAAACCACCTTTGCGAAACAACACTCCAGGACGAGGTGGTTCACGGTCTCTTGGCCTCTGCAGTCGGCCTGAGGGCAACGAACTGACTTGCCCAGACCTCGACCGTGCATGAAAGCTCTGAGAAGGAAGGGGTCCCTTTTATCGCCAGCCAGACCATGTCCTGATGATTGTTGGTCAGAGCCGGTAACGAGGCAGTTCTGCCAGACCCATCTTCTTAGCACCAGGTACAGGTAGAAACCCAGCACATAGCTGCATTTGTTGCCGGCGTAGAGGGGCTCCAGGCACAGCCTCAGGCAGCTACACAGAAAGGTAGCCATGAGGATCAGGGCTGCGATAGGGACCCCTTTCCACCCCCATTTTCCGGTGTTTTGTGCATCATGTCTCTGCGGACACGATCCTTCTTAGACCCCCAGATCAGTTGGAAGACCTCTCTGATGACTGCAGTGGCGTTGTTCCTTGTCAAAGGCCAGACCTGGGCCACATACAGTAACACAGAGAGGGCCTCACACTTTATCGCCAGATTTTTCCTGGTGATGGACAGCAAGCGCTGGCACCACATCACCAGTTTCTTCCTCACTATGCCAAGACACTCCTCACAGCTTTTTTGGCGCAGCCCGGCAGCCCCGAACCAGATGCCGAGGACTTTGATGTCATCTGGCTTTCCCGCAAAAGGTATGTGATTGCGTTCTTTCCAGTCTCCAAAATACATCTCTTTTCTGGTGGTTGACCTCAGCTCCTGAGGCAAGTATTTATCAAAAACATGACTTAATCCAAGTGCTTAGTCCTGAAATAACCCATACAATAGAAACCAATGCCTAGCAGGCTCAAGGCTGATTTTTGGTCTATGCAAAAGATGGTGACATCATCCATATACAGGGAGGTCTTGGCTTGTGTGCGGTGGCTGCCCGGGATGGTGACATCTCTGATGCTCTCTCCCTCCTGTGCAAAGGGATCGATGCAGCAGACAAACAGAAATGCTTTCCATCACACAAGGAATTATAAAAAGGCAAGATTTTTCATTCTGAAACAAAATTAGCCTACACTCCCTTCTCCTATACTCTTAATCCCTTCTTCCTTTTGGGTACATCAAGTTTCTTCTTAAGTAAGTTGATGCTGTTTGCTTCAGCCACAGCTTCCGACAGTGAGTTCCACATTCTCACCGCCCTCTTGTGTAAAGAAGTTTCTTTTAAACTCTCTTTTAGATAATAATAATAATGCAGGTTTCCAGCATTTTCTGATTTTACAGGAGATCTTATCATTAATACCTAAACATCTGAGTAGATGTGATTATCATTATCATCTAAACATTTGTCAGTCAACATCTGAAGAAGGTTAACATTTTGTGTGTGTCCTTTGACCCGAATGTGCTGATGCAAATATTCCTGTACTGTAGATCATTGCTATCAATTTCAATCTCTTCCTTTCCACTTTGCCCTCTACATTTAGAAAATATTCACCGTACACATCCCTTTATTTAACACAGCTCGACCAACATGTGGTCTTAATTAGAGGGTGGTTACTTGAACTCATACACTACTAACAATAAATACTTTCATCTGTTCCTAGTCAGAAAACAGAACTCCAGACAGAACAAGTCCTTGGTCTATACTTAAGATCTGACACCAGTACATTTGCTCACCGATGTGAATCATGCACTGCACCCGACTGATGCAGATAAAATGCCCCAATTTCAGAGCAACATGTAGAATAACAACTTGCATTTATACATTGCCCTCATGCATTACAGTTCAGTGGCCTATGGGCCACTTTTGGGCCTGCCGAACATGCGCACCAGTCCAGATAAGTCCATGCTAAATCAATACCTTATTTCTAGCAGCTACCGATCCTTCTAGTGCCAGCAACATTCTACTGCCGCTTCCGAGAACACTAAGGTAGGATGGTAATCCATGAAACAGGAGCGAAACCCTACTGGGCAAATAGGGAATGGGTGGGCGTGAAGCTGAATAAAGTTGCAGGCGTAACCATCTTAGCTGTGTATGATTAATCATCGCCGCGGTTGTTTCTGATCACGCAGAGCAGTGTTTCACTGCCTGTTCACAGAATACAGACCCAGGGTAATCTGAATGGTGTGATTCTTTTTTAAGACCTGCAGAAAACCAACTTCCAAATTGAGACTCAATTTAGTCATTTTCCAATATTCTGCAAGATCTTAAATTTTGCCACATTGATTTAAGGGCAAATATTTAGGCAACCTCATATTATTCTATTCATGGCTTTTAAATAGTGTACTCTAATTTTCAGTATTTATCAAAGTATGAGTACAAGTATTTATCAAAAACATGACTTAATCCAAGTGCTTAGTCCTGAAATAACCCATACAATAGAAACCAACAGCCAGAGTGAAAATATTGAAACACACAGTGTCAAAATGCACAAGAAAGATGAAATAGTTCATATAGTACAATACATTTACAAGATTTTGCATCCCTCAAGCATAAGTAATTAAAAAATATCATGATCAGCCTGACTTTATTAGTAGCACTCTTGCATCTGAGACAGAAGGCCCCATGATGGGACTTTGAACTCATGTCTAGACTAAAATTCCAGTATAGTGCTGGGAGAGAAGGTATTGTCAGAGGTTTCGTCCTTCAGATGAGACAAACCAAGGTTCCTACCATCGGTGGCCGGGCTTTCAGCCTCTCTGCCCCCACACCCTGGAACTCCATCCCTCGCTTCCTCCCTTGCATCCTTCAAGGCTGGTCTCAAGACCCTTCTCTTCGACAGTGCCTTTGATCTCCCTCCCACCACTCTGCCTTCCCTCACCCCTACACCACCCCTCCCCCATGCTCGGGCCCCGACATCTGACTGTTCAGAGCTTTGGGACGTCCTCCCGACGTGAAAGGCCCTCTATAAATGGAATCTTGTTGTTGTTGTTGCTCCTTCTGTCTGTTCAGGGAGACATTAAAGATTCCATGGCTGTTTATGAGAACACTGCCATGTACAAATTAGCTGTCCTCCTCGTCTACAAAATACGCAGTCACTACATTTTACAGTAATTCCTGTAAAATGCATTGAGACGTCCTACTGACTTGAAACTATAGACTAATGTCAAATGTAAGGATTATTATCAGTTGGTTGAACTACCAGCACAAATGTTCAAATTCTCATTCAAACTGTTTTAATAATAATCCTTGTATTTGATATAGTGCCTGATCACATCATCGAAAACGTCTCAAAGAGCTTCACAGAATATACTGTAAAGTGGATTGACTGTA